GTAGGCATGGGCCTTGTTGAGGATTTGGACTTGATGCTTAAATCAGTGGGGAGCCATAGAAGGACTTTTAGCAGGAGAGCAATGTGATAGGGTTTGTATCTTTGAAAAAAATCACTTTGGCACCAGTTATGGTGGAGAGCCTGGAGGTGGGGAGCCAGTGCAGGAGCTCCCAAACCAAGGGAGCAGGATGGTGGCTGAAGGAAAGGCAGGGCCAGTGGTGAAAGGAGATGTTGATAGACTCTGGGAATATCAAGATGCCATCATCAGTCCTCTGCAGTCAGACTCCCTGGGTTCAAATCTCAGCTTCTTCACTGACTGCATGTAAGAGCTTGGGCAGACCACTTAGACTCTGTGCTTCCGTTCTTCATCAGCAAAATGGAGGTTCTAATAGTACCTGCGCACCTCGATAGGACAGGATAAAATGAGTTAACATACGTGAGAGACTTAGANAGTAGTATTGACTGGATGTACAGCTGAGCGACAGAAGTCAAGGTGACACCCAGTTCTCTGGCTTTGACATCAGGGTGGACAGAGGCTGGGCCCCAAGAGCCTGGCATATGGTAAGAGCCCATTAAGAACACAGGGAACAAGGAGTAAATGAATTGTGAGACCCAGAGGTGAATGCTCTGAGGAGGGGCAGAGAAAGGGGATATCTGAGGTCCCTTTTGAACATGTTTAGTTTGAGGTGCCTGCAAATAGGGTGACCAAACATCCTGGACAAACTGGAAGGTTGGTCAGTCTACCCGCAGGACATCTGTGTGTGTGTGTGTGTGTGTGTGTGTGTGTTGGGGGGAAAGGGGTGTATAACCTAACTCAGAGACTATGCATGGTAAATATTATGTCCTGAGGTTTTGGAAGTTGGGGGATTCAGGGAGAGAACACCTCAGACCTCAAAGTGAGGTGCTGCCCCACCTAATTCAGGTTGCTCCATCTTAGTGACAGTAAAACTAGGCTCAGGTTGCTAAGGGAAAGGAGAGGGTGGGAGCAAATGACAACTTTTGAGCATCTCAGTGTGCCAGCACTCCAAGAGATATTTTATGTAATTTATCTGATTTCTCTTCTCATAAAAACCCCTCTTTAATAATTGCCATCTCTGTTGGCAGATGAGGAAATAGAGGCTCAGACAAATTCAGGAGCTCCTCTAAGGTCAGAGCTAGTGAGTGGGAGGCAGGGCTATATCCCGGTTGTTGGCTTCCAAAGGCTGTGCCCTTTTCATCAAGTCTTTAAGGGAAGTCACCTTTCGATGGCCATCACTGGGTGACCCTCCCTGCTTCCCCAGGAATACCAGCAAACAGAAATGTCCTCCTTCATGTTGGAAGTCAATGGATCAGGGAGTTATATAGAGGACACA